AGTTTGGTCAATATATACATAAAATCTGCCAGGGTAGAAGGAAAATTTAATTTATCTTATAGCATTGTAGAAAGTATGAAGAACAAAAATCCAAAGTAAGAAATCGATGTTCTTGAGCTTTATCGAAGGAAAAGTAACACAAGTATTTCCCTATCATATCTTAAGTCTTATGCAAAAAAAGAAACATCAGTATTTACAATAGGCCCATTAAATAGGTCGAGGGATTACTCAAGTTCTCATACTTGGTAGATGGAAAAACTAAAAATTGTTAGCTCTGCATTCATAATTTAAGTTTCGAACTAAAATGCCGGATGGGAATTACTAACTTGCTTGGCAACGGGTTTTGTTTTGAATAATGAATTAAAAAAGACGAATTATTTAAATAAATATATAAATATATATATATATATATATATATATATATGAAATTTTACATGCACCAGTTGAAAAATATTTCAATTTAAGTGGTTGTTTACTTGGGAAAATGTTTACTCATTTATTGCTATCCGACTGCCCTCTATCAAAATTATTTTGTAAATAGTTCGAATTGTTTTTCTCTTTTTCTTTTCTGATTTAATATTTAATTCTCAATAGCTGAGTATAAAAAAATTTACTTAGTCCCTCTGAGCACCTGCGAAGCCTAAGTAGGAGGGAGGCGAGGTAAGGGAATGATGTAGTCTACTCCCGTATTGGTCATTGATTTTGATTATTTGCGAATTTGTACTTCCTTGTACAATGTAATTCAGATCCACATTTGTAAATATTTTTCCTTCATTCTTGTAAATATTATGTCACATTATCCGGATTTTTTTTTCTTTTTTAATATAATTCACATTATTGTATTCTTAACTCAGACTTAGTTCATTCGCTGCCGAAAGCAAAAAACTTAGTTGAAGATGCAAGTGCCGCAAGGCAGACACCTCGAAATTTGTTTTTACATTAACCCGTTTTGTCCCGAAATTATAAATTGAAATGATACAAAAAGTGGTTTTACGGAAAAAGTGGTATAATATAATATTGAAATTAATTGGTTTTTCTACTGTTAAGACATTCAAAAAGTCTTTAATAGATCAGAAAGTACTTGCTCCTTATAATTCTAGCTCTAATCAGAAATAACTAAATCATTGTGGTATCTGAGAATCTTTCAACTCACCCAGATAAATGAAAATGCTGAAAAAAGAAATGCTGAAAAAAGGAACTGTCCTAAATATATGACGCTGGGCGTTAACCGGTTAAAGCATTAAGTTTACTTATTTTGAAAACTAATTTGCTACCAGTTTTTGGACGACCTTTGGAAACAGTGAAAAAGCAAAGAGGGAATTAAAATTATTCCTTGAAGCCCAGTTAAGCCGTCATCTGCAAATGAATTGGTTTCAGATGATTTTAATTACTCCCTTGCGTTTATTACGATCAATAATAAATATTCACAGTTTGAAAACATTCTTACTGCTTCCCCACAATAATAACTTCTGACTCTTCATAATCATAGTGTCTTTTTACTTCGTCTTTAAACGAATTCTAAAAATCTATATTGGAAGCTACTATTACTAAACGCATGGTATTTTATTACATACAATACTATTCTCTTTTTATGGGAAGCTTACATTGCTTATTTAAAGTGGTAGTAAATTTTGTACTCCACAACTTTACTATTTTGACCATCACTATATTTCAACTGTTTAAACAAAACTATATGAACTAATATTAGAGCGTTGACGCTTTTAAATCTGTCAGACACAAATTATGCTCAATTTAACTAATATTTTTCTACCATTTTTAATTTCGGAAAAATTACTGCTTAATTATTGCATTATTTTAAAAATTGTCTCATAATTTCAGAAATATTTCTGCTTTGGTGCATTATAGTACACTCTATAACAAAAAAATCAACGCACCAAGAAACACTCACGCCTGCACACTGCCGAGCCAGATTACAGTGGTGCATGGCTCGATCAGGCTGGAATGATGCCGACTGGGGACTTATAGTCTTTAGCGACGAATCCCGCTTCCAACTGTGTCTTGACGATCATCGAAGACGTGTTTGGAGACGCACAGTGCAGGGGGGGGATCCTGCCTTCAACAAGGCATTATGGTCTGGGGTGCCATTTCCTTTGACAGCCGGACCCCTTTGGTCATCATTAGAGGTACACTTACTGCACAGCGGTACTTCGACAACATCCTAAAACCTGTTTTGCTACCGTTCCTTTTGCAGAGCCCTGTGCTGGTTTTTCAGCAGGACAATGCCAGACCACATACGGCACGTGTTGCTATGAACTGTCTGCAAGCTTGTCAAACTCTTCGTTGGCCAGCCAGATCACCAGATCTCTCTCCCATCGAGCATGTTTGGGATATGATGGGAAGACGATTGCATCTGGCACGGAATGTTGATGACCTCGTTTGACAATTGGATCGAATTTGGCAGGAAATACCACAAGAGACCATCCGAGAGCTTTATCGGTCTATGCCACGCCATTTGGCAGCTAATATCCAGGCTAGAGGCGGGTCAACACCTTACTGAACTTGTTACTGTAACTCTGCAATAAATTATTCAATTGCTCTGAAATTTTAATCATTTACTATTCTGTACATTGTCTTACTATCCACGATTTTTCGTTTCAATCGGACAACTCCTTTTTTATGAGTCGATTTTTTTGTTATAGAGTGTATAAACAAGATCCCACTGTATGTAAATTAATATATATTTCATGCAAAATTGAAGATAATACAAAAGAAAAATTGCACATAGATAACTAATTTTCCATGTAATTAAAAACGTGTAAGACAAATTGAAGACCTTGATGCAGAAACAACTATCTACTTACAAATTCATTTTTATTATAATTGCCTTGTTATATTAAATGCAACACCTGGTTAATGTAGTTTTTCAAACTCTGTCTACCACGCTTTACAGAACTGAAGTTGCAGTAGTAGGCAACAACTAGGCAGCAATGATGGGAATTATTGCAGAGTTTTTACACAAATTGAAACATCTACATTGCCCGCTAAAGAAAATGCTTTTAAAAAAAATGAGAGGAAAACTTAAACCTACTTAGTTTTTATATCAAGACCCTTAGTAGCCTTAAGGCGTTTATTTATGAAATGTTTGCTATAAAAAGTGTTGAAAAAAAAAATTTTCAGAACAAATTACTCACAATTTAGAAAATACAAATCTAAGAACATCGTTCCTTATTTTTCTATTTCCTTAGAAAAATTAAGCCATTTTGTAAAACATATTAATTACAATAATCTGATTTTACTTATTGAAGGTCTTTGTAAGCTTAATTTCAATACATCCTAACTGTTATCATAAAAAATACATTATAAATAGTAATTGCGCTTAATTTGTTTGTTAAATTAATTGTTTGTATTAATTGTTAAATAATTTGTTTGTTAAATTGCGCTTAATTTGTTACATTGCATTATGCAAGGATTTATGTATCTTTAAAATTACCATTTTTTTAGTTGTTTAATTGATACAGTAAATATCAACTTTATTCAGTTGTTGTAATATGCTATATTTTAATTCTAAACTTACAATTTATTAAAATGCACCTAACGATGAACAGATATGAAACAAAATTAATACTGTTTTGTGAAGAAAAAAGTAGCATCATTTTCAAAGAAGTTATTTTCGTAATTAGATAATATTTTCTTAAAATCAAACGCTATCTCAAGCTAAGATAAATTGAAAAATATTTTTACAAAGTCAAGTATTAAGACCATAAAAAAGAGCT